GATTAGCTGTCAGTCACAAAGGTCCTGTGATCTAAAAATTCAGCGTTTGAAAAATCCTACAGAACGCAGTTGTATTTTGACACACAAGAGTCGTCAGGAGTCCTGCCAACTCCAGGTTTTGGTTCTGCTTTAAAAGGATTTTCCCATACGTGGATGGCGACTCCTGATTACGGCCGAATATTGCCAATGGTGGTGAAGTACTCCGATGAAAAGTTTAGGGTGTTATGATCTTTTTCATTTCCTAACCTCTGTCTTCTTTATTTACATACTGCTCCGCCACCCGTTACATAGGTCATATCCTTGACCTTGCTGCGATTGTTAGCTGCCACTAACTAAGCCCCCATCTTCCTCAAGGCTATCTGTAGTTGGTTATGATCCTCACAGTTGCATACCTTAACATAACAAGGGTAGCACTGAACACTAATGCCAGAAGACCCCTGAGCTGTGAGATGACAACAAGAACATACATGGAGAATAATCTCACTGCTATCACACGCAAGACCGTTTTTGCTGAAGATCATCTAACAATGGTTACAGCAGAACATTGACAGGGAGCTGCCCTCCCAGGATTCAGATCGGATCCAGCAGAGGATGTGGAACAAGGGAAATCATTGCTGGTGTCAGCTGGATCTAGGCTGAAAGCAGAGAAGACTAGAAAGTGGTTTACTTGTGTTTTATTGACTGTGCAAAGAGATTCAACTGTGAATCATAACAAACTATGGGTACCCTTGATTAGAAGGGGAATTCTAGATCATTTCATTGTGTTTATGCTAAACTTGAACATGGATCAAGAGGCAGTTGTGTGAATAGAACAAGGGAATACTACATGGTTTGAAATCAGGGTTTTAGGGTTGTATCCTCTCAAGGATTAGAGCCATCAGTATGGATTAAAACTCAGTGTAGAGGAGACCGAAATCCTCACAACTGGACCAGGAGGTAATATCATGATAAATGAAGAATAGGTTGAGGTTGCCAAGAATTTTGTCTTGCTTGGATCCACAATCAATGCTCATGGAAGCAGCAGTCAAGAGATCAAAAGATGAGTTGCATCCGGTAAATCTGCTGCACAAAGCCTCTTTAGAGTGTTGAAAAACAAGAACGCTACTTTGAGAACAAAGCTGATCCAAGTCATGGTATTTTCTGTTGCCTCAGACGGATGTGAAAGTTTGATGTTGAATAAGAAGAGAGAAGAATCAGAACATTTGCATTGGGGTGCTGGAGAAGAATGTTGAAAGTACCATGGACTGCTAAAAGGAGGGGCTCAGCTGTCTTGGAAGAAGTAAGGCCAGAGTGCTCATCACAGGCAAGGATGGCAAGGCTTCATCTTCCATGCTTTGGACGTGTTGTCAGGAGAGACCAGTCCCTGGAGAAGGACATCATGCCTGGTAAAGTGGAGGGCCTCAGAAAAGAGGTAGGCCCTCAAGGAGAGGGATTGATAGCATGGCTGCAACAATGGGCTCAAGCACAGGAACAATTGCAAGGGTGACGCAGGACCTGACAGTGTTTCGTTCTGTGGCTCATCAGGCCACTGTGAGACCGAGCCTCCTCAAGAACCACCACAGCAGCACCTTACAAGGAAAGGTGCCCGTTGGTGCTGGTGGCTAAATGTTGCACTTCTAAGGAAAGGATCGGAGCTCCCACCCACTGCCGAGGAAACAGCAGGAAGTAGAGGCTATCTGCTCTTATAATGATTTACAGCCTCAGAAATCCCGTTGGCTCTCCATGAGTTGGAAGCAACTCAGTGATAGTAGGTTTGGTGTGTGTGTGTGTGTGGGGTGTGTGTGTGTGTGTGTCTTTGTTGGCTCACCATGAGTTGGAAGCAACTCAGTGATAGTAGGTTGGGGGGGTGTGATGTGTGTGTGTGTGTGTGTGTCTTTTTCACCTTACAAGTAAGGAGCTGTGGTGGAGCAGGGTTTAAGAACTTGCTGACTTGCCCAAGGGTCAGCATTTCCAACCCACCAGCCCCTCTGTAGGAGAAAGCCGTCACAATTTCGAGCCTCGGAAATTATGCAGGGCAATTCTACTCAGGTTGCTATGCTTCAGTGCTAACAGTTGGCAAAGGGGTTTTCTCACCAGTGGGAGTCCTTGTGGAGCAGTGGTTATTCATTGAGCTAACAACTAAAATTCAATTGTTGAACTCCATCATCTATGCTGATGTGACAGCCTGCTTCTGTCAAGATTCCTGTCTTGGAAACCGTAGGGGAAATGCTGCTCATTTCCCTAGGGTGGCTAGGAGTGGAAGTGGACTTGAAGCCCCTAGGTTTGTTTTTTTAACCTCACAATCTGAGTCCCTTGTGGCACAAATGGTTAAGTGATTGACGACCATGAGCCCAAATGTTGGGGATCACAATTCACCCAGAGGGACTTGGAAGACATGCCTGGTGATACGTTTCCAAAAGCCACAACCTTAGAAACCACAGGTAGCACAGGTCGCCTCTGTCGAGGTCACCCTACGTCAGAAATGTCCTAATGGCAACTAACAACAACAACCTCATAAATGTTATTACTCTCCCGCTTTTATATAAGAGGAGCGTGAGGTTCATTGAAGCTAAGTTACCTAAGCTCATGCCACTGTAAATATCAAAGGGTGGTGGTGGTGGCCTTGAACCCAGTTCTGACTCCAAAATCTATACCTGACCCATTCTAATAGGAAGAAAAGGAAGTACCCCTACTTATTTGTATGATCAACTATTGATGATCAAATAGTTATAAAGGAAGAAATCATACACGGTACACTTGACTAGGCGTTTATGGAACATGGCATTTTATAAGTTAAATATTAGAGTTGGGAGTATGTTGGTATCTGAGTCTTGCTTCCATAACAGAACTCCCCAAAGGGGTGGCTTTAACAAGCACGCTGACTTGCTCCCGATGTTGGAATCGGGGGGCTGGATCTAGAGGCAGGCTTTTCCTCCTTTCGTTCTGGCAGTGGGTGCTTATCTCTTTTAGCTTCTGCTCATGGGGGAGGGAGGAAGCTGACCACGATTGGCATAACGACTGGCTGTCTCTGCCTGGCTTGCTTGTTTAATCTGTTTTATATCTCAAAAGAGTGATTCAAGACACCCCCTGCACTAATCCTGTGTATGACCAGAACAAAGATAGCCCATCCCCAAAGGGATTATAACCACAGATAGGCATAGCAATTCGGATTTACAACACAGAACTCTGGTAAACATGATTCCACCCCTAACAGTTGGGTATGACTGAAATGAGTTTCAGATGGCTGAGAAAGAAACATTTATTACACAGGTGTAGGCGGATTTTGCCGAGAAGAGAGTTAGTTGGTGATTAAATCTGGTTTCCCTGAGATGGTTGGTTTTCCGCCGGCAGGCATGTGGTTTTTCTCAGTGACCACACGATGGCACCATTGACAAAGACTTTTCCCAGTCACCAGGCCTTCAAAGCCCGTCTTTACTATTTTCAAATAGATTCGGAAACATTTTGCATTTATAATTGAACTTGCTCCATACAAATTTTGTTGTAAGCTTCTTTAGGTAAGAACAATGATTCTTACAAGTCAGGGTACAATGAGGCTGGAAAGCATTTCTTTTATATCCATTTAATCAATATTTTGAGGAACATTAATTTTAAGAAGAGAGTTAGATCACCCCCACCCCCAGCAGTTACCATTGAATGAAAGAGAAGATCCACATACTGAATTGGCTTAGTGTAATCACACAATAATTTATTGGATGACTTGCAGCTAAATTACTTCCAATCTGAAATATTAATTAACAAACTATTAATCTGTGAGAGGATTTTAGTTTGAATTGTAACAATCTAATATTTTTGCTGTTTCGTTTGGCTATATTTTGTACAAATGTGAATTCTGCACACTTGAAGGAGCACAATATAAAATATTAATAACCAAAAAAATGAAACTCACTGCCATTTAGTCAATGCCAACTCACAGCAACCCTATCGTGCAGAGTCGACTGCCCCTCTGAGTTTCCCAGACTGTAACTCTCTACGGGAGTG